CTCATAGGGGGGAATTAGTGTATGGACCACTACCCAGGGAACCCATTGAAAAACTTTTCCCGGAGTATGTCCGTCCAAAGTCTGCAATCAAGGCATTGTGAGTAAAGATTTAATAAATCGAGATGGTCCTATTTTGGGTAGCTAACAACTTGTTTAAACTTAATTTTAGATTTATGGGCTTGCTGCAGCGGATTTCGGAAAGGTCGCAGTGATTAGCTTCGTTCTACCTGTCCCTCATGCTCTTCGTGTCGTTCCATCCATAATCTTGGCATTTGGCCTTTTGCAAGGTCTTGATTTCTTGTGTGTTGTGTTATTCTGTTATAGACTTGCTGTTGTTTATTCTGGGCCATTTGTGCCAATTCTTTTCTTTGATCATGTGGAGGGCTTTAGGTGTCACTCAGGTGGGGATACGACGTCCACGCTGATCCGTCTGGGAGCCGGTCAGCGTAGTGTAGTGTTGTTGTCGGTCCTTAGTCACAGCAGAATGGAAGTTGGGGTCGGGCGGCTCTACGTATCTGCTTAGCGCTTGATTAAGCAGGCGTTAATGTGGCGCCGTGGGGCATAGTCAAGTCTTCTGAAAATGCTTGTTATAATTTAATTGGGAGCGTTGCTTTCAATGCAAGAAAAATTTGTGAAGAAACTATGGCTACACGTTTGGAAAATTTGTAGGATGATGTTTAAAAGAAAATCATTTGTAGAAGTTTGTGCACACTAGTTTTTCAACCTTGAAATCAAGGCGAACTTTACGGCTTGCCTTCAATCGGTGTTTCGAGTTGATTCCATAGCTGTCCTATCCTGTGAGATAATGGACTCGTCAGCTGGACAACCGCACTCTGCGGAACATTCTTCGCATACCTCAAGTGGAACAATGCAACATAATATGCATAGTATGAAGGTATCACTGTTCTCAAATAGTTCAATCGATTCAGATGTACTTCAATACAGATTTGCCTTTTCATCTGTTATTTGAGGCCTGGAATGTTGATACTGTTGGAAGTAGGTGTTCAAATGTCGCTGTTATTTATGTTCTTTATAGAATTGGTTGGTGCTTGTGTTGGAATTTTTCTTCTGGCGCTTGTATACGAAGGAACGAAAGTAATTTTTGTTTGATTTTTACTTTGTTTTCAAACTAGATTAGAATCGATAAAGATATGATAACGTTTAGGGGATTCGCGATCGCCTCCTTGTAAGCAAGTTGACTTCGTCGTCGTTGGTTCGCTACGCGGGTTCTGCTGCCGATGCCGATGCAGTCAATGCCTCATCATCCACTCCCGGATATGGACTCCATCAGGGTGACCATGTTGTCCCTTTGTCTCAGGGAACTATGTCCGGGTGAGCCATTTCTGTATTCTCATGTCTATTTAGGGTGTAGTTCTCCTAGTATCCAATTTCCATTCACGTCTTTCCAGTTTCAAATTTTTGGATTAATTGAGAGTTCATTCTTGAAGTTAGCATTGGACAACCTTTTTAATGACCTTCTTGTATTAGACTTTTAGATTAGATGTTAAAGCTAATTTTAGTAGTGGACTTTTGGCTGGATTTCTGTAGGCTCTCGTAGTTTTGAGAACTACTTTTAGTGCAGAGCTGTCTCAAGCAATCTGCCACAAGCTATTGACTTCTAGTAAAATAGGAGAGCTTGATACAAGTTGGCATGCGTAAGATAACGATTTTTTCTTGTCCTCCGTAGATGGCTTTTGATCTACTCTCACCCCACGTTATTGAAAGTATTTATACATCTGCTATATTTCGTAACCTATATTAATGTTGGCAGTCCCATAGGTTTTTACTGGTGTGGAATTGACAATCCCTTGAATACCTTTCTCTAAATCACTCCACTTTTTTATGTGCCCTACAATCGCCGACCTTTTATCCCATCGCAGTTTGTTGTAAGCTGTATTTGTTTGCACGCTTTTGTGGTTAAATCTGTTACTGAGACAAAAATCGGTTCTTATTTTCCTTAATTTAATCCAACGTGTACTCATTGACAGCTATGCCTTTCATATTTGCATGTTGGGCATGTCGTGAACACAATCTGTTTTTTTGGTCTTCGAACGGGAGATTGGATATCAGTCTCCTACAGTTTAATTCACCTCGTTTCAGTTCGGATTCAAAGCAGATTGAGTAACGAGGAAACATAACTTTTATGTGCTCTAAACTGACTACGGATGAACTTAAAAGTAAACATTTCTGACCGTACACACGTAATCTCATTTAATAAACAGTTGTTTAAGCCATTCGGTGCAACTTGAGGATTTTTTGTAGATAGTTTTTGCCAACTTATCACATTTTCTCACTTCACAGATGGCGCAGCTAC